TATTCATAAATTCCTATTTAAAATACTCAAAGATTGCGCGTATCTTCTTCACATTGTCAAAACGGGGAATCACAATACACTAATCTTCGTATATACAATCTTTCATATTTTTTCAAATGAATAAATTGACTTATAATTGTAAATCAAAAAATGTAAACCTTCCCTCTTGTCGTACCCTCAAATGGGAAACGTCAAGTCACTTATCAACTTGCTTTACCATCAATAGTGCTTGGTGCTGTAATAAAATCTGTCGAAAATCGATTCCATACCAGATAACCCTTACCTTATTTATATTATAAACTTTAAACACGCGAGGATAGCCAGAAGGTGTAATCAATATAATAAACGGCTGTTGACAACGAGAACCCAACAGAACCCACGCCATAAAACATTTAGGAACCCCTTTCCACTGAAAACTCTAGATTCTAGAGACATTCTATAACCCTTTAATGCATCGACATACATTTTGTTTCCCTTGAAAACCCCCAGATCGTAATTTGAGGAATACCACAGTTGGTTAAACAACCAATTCCACATGCATTCTTCTGGCAGTCAGATCTTTGTTTTGTGAACCACACGCAAATATGATATATGCCATAGATGTACGTACTACTTATTTACTCCACCAACAGCCAGTCAACCTGTTGGCAATCTATGTTATCGCTGCTGTGGCCAACAGAATGAATAACGAACAAATAACGACTTCAACGACAAATGCAAATGGCTAAAGCATGGCGACTACTGCTGCCAGCGATAAAGAGAGCGAATTGAGTAGCACCAAATATTGATATACTACGCGTTTCCAGGCACTTCATAATATTTGACTCGTTCCTCTACTATTGCCAGCTCTTATCACTAATTACAGCCAGCAACTACCAGCTCCGAATGCACATGGCTGTGGAACAAGAGGGTTGGATAGATCCTACCAATACAATCAATTTCTGGGGCAGGTCATTTAACCCACTCCGGGCCTGCCGGGCACTTTCATTAGCATATATATTCTAATTAGCTGCCACCGCTAGAAGACGCCACAAAAACAAGTTTCCGCCGACATGTGATGAGGTAATAGAATTGAAAGAATAAAACGAATTCCCATCTAAATATCGGGAATACATTTATCATAAATATAGATCTGTTATGTTATGGCTGGGCAAATCGTAGTAATTAATGTGTATGTACAAAACAAACAAATTAATGGCTTCAATGCATACGGATGTGATTTTTTTAACTTTGGAAACCTCAGGTCAGGCCACACCAGGCCTCGTCCACATGTGTCGATGATTGCAGTTCCCCGAACCACCGAACCCGAATTCATGCGACAGCATTGAAAATTTCTAATTATACAAAACCTCCCATCCATCCATCCATGCGCAAGTAAGTTATCGCATAAAAACAATCTTTACGGGGCGTGGACTTTTTTGGTTCGTTTCTCAAAAACCAAAACACATGTGTTGGGAGGATAGAAATTATTGTCTGGGGAATTTATTTGGAGGCATATCTCAAATACTGTGCATTGGGAGGCCAGCAGAATGAGTTTTAAGAGCATTATTAATTGAAAATGTTAGCACAGGGAATCGCAAAAGAAAGTCCAAGTTTACTATAAATAGGAAAACTAAGAGAGCTGGGAATCAAAACAATAAAAAAAGGAAACAGAAAGAAGGTCGAATTTTGAATGCACTTTTTGAATTTAAATTGAAATTAGCTATCGATAAACGTGACCCAAGGCAATCCTGGTATGATGATTCTCCACTAGTATTCCTAGCAATTCAGTGCAATAATGTGTAAATTGATTGTTCAATTATCTTTTACAACACTAAACAAATCAATAATATTGCAATTCGACTCGTTGGTAAGTACGTCTCCAATTGTCCCAACAAACACCTGTCAACACGCTTTAACCTGCGATCCGCTCCGACTATGACTCACATTTCCACTTTGTTCTAGTTCTAAATTCTGGAAAATGCTTTAGCTCTCCATTTGGTAGAACATACTGGTAAAAACAATTCTAGAGCTTGACCGCAAGATTATAACAGCCATTATAACCTGTAGACCATTAAAAATCACAACGTCACGCCTGATAAATAATTCAAATTGTCTGACAAATCGCTTCAAAGTCTAAAGACACCCACAAACGGGGTGTAGAGTATACATAAGCAGCAACTGGTGATATCGCGCTGGCAACTTTATTGAAAGGAATTGTGTGTGGCTGTCTAGATTGCGTATATACGTGCGACCTCTTATCAGTCCACAAGATTCAGTCACAAGCACAGCACAAAAGCAAGCAAACACAAAAGACACAGCGAGAGAGGAGAGGGAAATTTTAGAGAAGGAAACAACATCACTCTCTCGTACTCCCGTTTCACCATCTGTTTGTGTTGTTACCGATTTAACCGCGGTGGCGAGAGCGATGAGCTCATCGAAACGCATGTTTATGTTGCACAGAAATTCGCACAGATTGCATTCCAAAGTGCATTTGATGGGAATTCTTGGAAGGCGCATGCCGGTGCAGTGCATATGGTGCACAGGGGCATGTGTTTCATGTCTCCCACACACAGCGGCACGCCCCATAAATGGGGTAGCAAGTTTTGGGGAAGCCACAAACCACAACTAAAATATAGAGCACGGGTCGGCATCGGTCTTACATGTGTATGGAAATGGGGAATAGGAATGGGAATGGAAATGTGTGTGGTGTGCGGGTAATTACCATCTGCTATTGTCCAGCGTATTTCACTTGTAATCGGATCGATGGCTGTCAAACCGCCACCCAAAGTGGAGAACACCATCAGGGCCTCCTCATCGCGGGCCAGGTCCGTGCAGTCCTGCGGATAGTTTGTTTAAAACTCAATTGATTACCAACATGACACACAATTTGTTGAAATATTTAATTGACATTTGTGGGACATGCGTAAAAACCACCCGGCTGACTGGCTGTTTGGCTGCCTGCCTGCCCTTTTGTCTGCGCCCTCCTCTTACCGTCTTTTCTTCAGAGCTGCTGCCACTCACAACTTCTGCCGAGTCGACGGCGGCATTAGCTGATGCAATCGAGCCGCTGGCAAGCAAAAATAACACGCTACAAACTAAAACGCAGAATCTCATTTTGCACGACATCGAGGGAACAACGATTGGCGACAGAGAGGGAGCGAGCGAAAGGTCGTGTACAATATTTGTGTTTCTTTTGCACTTGCAATTAGTTTTTGTTGTATAACTCTGGCATATTTTCATGCCCACTTATTTCATTTCAATTTATAAACACTTCCAGCACTCGCAGTGGCTTAATTTACTCATTTTATTTTCATTTCACATTCACTTGAGACCACTATTTCCATTCGCCATTGTTGAGAATATTGAGTTGAATGGCTCCTCTCTTTCTCTCATCTGTCTGTACAGAGTTGCAAAACGATCAATAGTTTTACCGATACCATGATGCAATAATATAGGTGGTCCCGTCGGCAAAACGACGCCACTAACAATGCTGTCAAGAAGTGCGAGTGCAATGGTTCTGCTACTAACCAAATGGTATAGTAGACTCTCAACTTCCTACAAGCGAAACGTCACCGCTCAAAGTCAAATACTATTTGGTTAGTGGTTCTGCGAAAAAAGCGTGAGTAAAAACAGACAAAAGAGTGTGCTCATTAACCCTTTGATGGCATGGGGTTTAAAGTTTCTCATTGCATGAAAGGGAGCTTAAATTTTGTTTTTCTTTTAATAATTTACCACTTGAAAGTGGTCGTTATATATGTTTCTTAATAGATATTTATTGTTTTTTGGCCCTTAATTCTAAAATAATTTGTAACTTTCTTGATGCAAAAACTGAAAAATCATATTTTGCGCAATCTAGGGTTAATATTTGCGACAAAATTCGTAAACACACAAGTCGACAACCAAACACGCACTAAACCCCAATGGTGGGAAAACGAAGCGATTAGGCAGCTGACGAACCCACCTTATATAGTTGTATCATGACCGATACATTTCATTTCTCTCCTGTCGGGCTATCGGGACAATGTTTATACGAGGCATGAAAAATCATGAAACTGCTATTTAACAGAAATGAAACGACCTTATATGACAATAAATTTACTTAAATCCCGTACAACCAATTTCCATGTGCATTAATAATATTTTATATTTTCACACCACCTTTTGACAACTGTTTACGAAGAGATTTGGAAAATTGATCTTCGTATAAACCAAGTAGCTTGAATTTTTGTTCACTATCGATAGGCCGCTCCGTATCGATACATTACACAATGCGGCCAATTTTGAGTAATTATTTATATAAACGCCTATTTCAAACGGATATTGTAGGAAAATATGCCAAACAGCAGCCGCGCAACCTCAAGGGTAAGAGCAAGAGCTCGCAAGAGTGGCTGACAAGGCAGCTGGCCGATCCCTACGTGGAGAAGGCGCGTATGATGAACTATCGCTGCCGGAGCGCCTTTAAGCTGCTGGAAATTGACGACAAATACAAAATCCTGAAGCCGGGTGACACTGTCCTGGACTGTGGAGCAGCCCCTGGAAGCTGGACGCAAATGGCCGTGGAGCGCACCAATGCCCATGGTAAACAGGAGCGAACGCCCGTCGGATCAGTTTTCAGCATCGACCTGTTGCATTTTCATGCCGTGCCGGGTGCCACAATATACGGCGGCATGGACTTCACCACGCCGCTGGCACAGCAATGTCTTAGAGAAGCACTGGCTGGACGGCAGGTCAACTGTGTCCTCTCCGACATGGCGCCCAACGCGACAGGCGTACGGATGCTGGACCAGGAGAGCATCACAAATCTCTGCTACGAGGTGCTGCGATTCGCCCTGGCCATGTCCGCACCGCAGGCCAATCTGGTGGTCAAAGTGTGGGACAATGGCGATGTGCCCAAGCTGGAGCGGGATATGCTAAGGTTCTACGAGAAGGTGAAGCGGGTGAAGCCACGCGCCAGTCGGGGTGACTCCGCCGAGCATTTCCTCGTAGCACGCGGATACAAAGGAGCGACGGCAGCGTCGTAAACTCAAGATGATTTATTTAAGATAATATCAAGTATAGAACAAATATAGAATTCGATTAAAAATCAAATTTTAAGTAATCTCGGACTGAGTAAAGCTAATGCTTGTAGTGCGTGAGATGGGTGATCATCTCGTAGAGCCACTTGGGCTGATCGTGTGGAGCCATGTGGCCGGCATTGCGCACCATTATCTCCACCAGATGGCCGGCGTGTTTCACATAACCAGCCACCTCTCCGTGAATGCGCCAAATCTCGCGTGGGGCCACTCTGTACCGATTGGAGCCTGGGAATTTCAAATGATTGAGGTAGTTGCGGGTCAGCGGATAGGCGACAATGATGTCCAGCTGGCCGCTGTAGATGCACACCGTGTAGTGGGCCAGCAGTTCGGCTATCCAGGGGGCCACACTATCCATCACGTCGAGCTTCAGGTGCAGCTCCACCTTGTTTTCCTTATCGAGATCGTGGAAGGGCTTGTTGCCCACATGAATGGAGCGACGCGTTTCACCGGCCTGCAGGAATTTTCCCAGATTCTCGCTCGAATTGTCGTGCGTCTTCAGGTAGTTGTAGTACCAATTGTAGCCCGTGAGATTGCTAAAGAGCGAGCCATTGGTGAGGTCTCCGTTGATGAGGGAATCGAACACATTGAAGGCGCACTCCATGTCGTGGTTCTTGATACAGGAGGCACCCTTTTCCTCGGCAGCATGGAAGCTCTGCAGGCCATTGTCGTCGATGAGGCCAAGTTGATAGAGATAGTCGCCGTACTTGAGCTGATTCAGTGGATCCGACAGCCCGTTGCCGATGGCCACGCCCTTTAGCGGCACATAGACGCGCGTCTCGATGGCATTCTGCACCTTGTGGATGTGATACGCCAGCGCTGGGACATATTTTCCAGCATAGGACTCACCAGTGACCCAAAAGCCACTTGAGTTGCTCCACTGGAAAAGCTCGTACAGCTGCATAACAGCCTCGTGCAGATTGCGACCGACATCCTTTTCGTTTTTAGCATAGCCCTCGTCCTTGTCCGTGAAGCTGAAACCCGTGCCCACCGGATTGTCAATGTAGATCAGATTGTGCGTCTTGCTCCAGGTGTAGTTGCGTTTCTGCAGCTTGCTATGGGCATCCAGCTCCAGCGGCCCGTTCTCCGTGAACAGCCCGAAGAGGGACGAGGCCCCGGGACCGCCCTGAAGCCACAACACTACTGGGGCATAATCAGCATCCTGCTCCGCGGGGAAGTACCAAAAGAACATGTTCGAATTGAATCCCTTATCCACCGTCAGATATCCCGCATAGCTCTCCACGCCATGATACTGCGAGCCCACAACACGGGCCAACTTCTGCACCTGCTCCCTGGGCATGGACGAATTGTGGATGAGGGGAGTGAGGAACAGCGGCTCGCCGGGATCGACGCCATCCTCGTAGAATTTGTAACGTGGATACGGGTTGATGAAGCTACGTCTATAGGGGCGTTCCCCTCCGTCGGCTGCACTGCAGGCTGCGATAATCGCGACGAAAATCAAAACTGCGCAATGAGTTGCAGTTTTCATTGTTGCTGTTGTTGCGTGCTCTGCTACCCAAGAACTGGAAGACAATAGTTGACAATAAATGCTTTGTTTGGCTCTTGAACGCCCCCAGCCCACTCACCACTCCACTGATAAGCAAGTATAATCAGTACTTTCCTATTTATTTTTTATTTTGCGGTGAAAACCGGCAAAAATATAAAAAACGAGTTGAATTTAAAGTGTGACCGCAGCTGGGCACAAATGCCAAGCAATGGAAGCGGGACTAGTGTGCAGACTAGACTGCCCGACCATATATTTTTTAGTTAATTTAACCTGTTTAAAAGTTTTACCAACAAGCAACCCGTTCCGTTTGTGTATGGGCAATATACAATGATCCTCTGGGGAGGGGAAACATAACTTAACTTTGATCAACAAAATTTCAATGGAGTAGAACAGCTCGCTTTCCAACACTTGTCATCTCAGCGTCAAAAGTTCTGCTGTAAATTTCGGCAATTGTGCGGCGTCGTAGGGCAGATATTAAAAACAACAAACAATGATGGACACCTTGGACTACATAACGCTCAGCAATCCAGTGAGCAAGGCGGTCATATCTTCCGGATCGGCTATCTTCCGCGCAATTGTAATTATCCCTCCATTCCATTGCTCCAGTGATACCTTTTACCGTTGGTTCTTGCAGGGGCTGCGACCGAAACAGTTGGTGCCAAAGGAGACGCAGACCATGCGCCCGGTGATGAATCAGTTTCCGACTGGCTCGCTGCATGGATTGGCCGGCAGCCATTACCACTTTGTTCGCTTGGCCGGCTTGGGCGGCGCCTCGGCCATCTTCATGGGCGCCTACTGCAAGTACGTTTTGCGGGACATCAAGGACCCCAAGGAGCAGCAGGACTCGCAGGCCTTTGCTGATGTCGCCAATCGCATACACTTTTTGCACTCGTTTGCCATGATGGCCATGCCTCTCGTGCACTACCCCTTATTGGTAAGTCCCATGCTAGAGGGAATCCCCCCGAATAGAAAGTTTCTGTTTTTGGTTTATTCATAAAGCTTTTCGGTAATTCTGTTTGTGTGTAAAGTTTACGATTTCTGAACGGAATTTACAACAACTCGCGTTACGTTTATCGAATGACAAAATGAATGGAAATCTATCTCAAAAACTCGACTGATCCAATTTTGATAATCTCTCATAATTGACTTTCTAGTGCGCTGATTGATTCATTTTTGTCAGGTTACAAAAACCTATTTCTTTGAGCTATGAACAAACCACATATAGTTAATGCTAAGCGTTTGCCATCCATCCATCGATTCTATATATAATGAGTATATATATATATACTATATTTATGTATATTGTGTGTTTGTATATGAAATGTTTTCCAAAGCTAAAGCTAAATTGTTCAACAACCACTAATTGCAGCTTACAAAGTAATTTTCAATACCATTTTCTTGTTTGTTTTGGGGTGTTTAATTCATGTGATATGGATGCAGGTTCATTTCATTAGCTGATATGGGTCTCAGGAAGAGGAATATGGAGATTTACAATTGATTTTTAACTTTTCTTTTCTTTTAAAAATTGTGTACCAAAAAGGCATCGTCCATTCTTCATAATATTATTTGGGGTTACTTCATTTACGTTTTCTTTTTGGATGTGGTTTATCATCAGCCTTATTTGATAAGTAAAATGTAGGAGAAGCCCAAGCCCATTTGCAGGCTCTTCTCGTTTGTTCTTTGGGGTTTTTTAAAGCCAACAACTAAAGCTAACATCAAAATATGCACACAATCGACTGCCTCATCTATCGTAATCTTAGGTTCTAAACAACTATGACTAATTCTGATATATGATATATCCTCTCTCTCGTAGACTGGCTCACTGATGACCACTGGCACACTGCTCTTCAGCGGCTGCATGTACTATCGTGCATTGACGGGCGAGAAGCGTTTCCAGGCCTATGCCACTGTGGGTGGCTTCTGTCTGATGGCCGCTTGGCTGACGCTTATCATGTAGGAGACTGGCTGCTCGCATCTATTTGTATGGGGCTAAGCTTAATTTGTAAGCTATAGGCAACGTAAAATCTAAAGCTAAAGCTAAAGCCTGCTGCAGAATGAATTCTTTTTCGCTGAAGTTCTATAATTAATATATTTATATATATATATATACTACCATATAGGATTACACAAATAAATCTCTAGGAGGCCTTGCATCTAATGGAAGATACTTCTTTGTTTCTGTTTTTGTGTGTTAAATGCGTTTAAATTTCTTAGTATATATGTATACGAAATGCAATAGTTCTAGAAACAAAATTAAAAAAACATAAAATTCAAACAAAAAAGGAGTAAAAACAAACAGAAATTTGTTACATTTATTGTATACCTGCACACATTAATAAATTACTATAAAAAACACACACATATACATGTATGTTAATACTAGGCGTAACATTTTCATAGAATTTCTCTCTTTTTATCATTTTTTTGTTTAGTTATTGTCGTTATTTTTACTGTTTACTGGAACACATAATACAAATGCAATGCGACCTTTTGAAGGTCGGAAATGCACAAAGTTTTTCTTTTGTTTTTGTTTAGCTAAAATTAAATATATTGCACATACATATGTATAAAAACAGTCACTCCTGCTACCACACTTCTCCTTCTACTCCTTATTGTCCTGCTGTTTTGATTTTACTTCTGTTTCCATGCGCACACGATTAACCTTCTGTCAGAGATTAAGTCTCTCCTAGTTTATACACACACTCTTTTAGTCTAACAATTAGTTTGATTTGTTTTGTACACAATTTGTAGTAGGTAGGGGGCGATATGGTTTAAAGGTAGTAAAAATTCATTTAGTTAGTGGGGATGTGGGTATCCTGTATGCTGTGCTATCCTAAAAACTTCTGCTTGGAGGCCTCCGCAAAGAGGAAGGTCTTCTGTATGCGCGCGTTGGCCGCTGGATGATTCGTAATTGGTTCCAGTATCTTAAGTATATAGTCTTTGAAGGCCTTCGGTACGGCGAAATGTCAAGAATCTTTCTTGATCCTCAAATTATCATCATGGGCCTTTAATGGATAAAGGAAATAATAATCAAATTAACATAAATCAAAAATTTCCAGTTACCTTTTGTGCTACTTTAAGCAGAGCATCGAATGTCGAGTCTCCCGTTTGCTTCACCATCGCATGGAACACCTTCTTCTCGCTGGTGGTTAGCAGCTCGAAGGGCGATCCAAACTCCACCGCCTTGCCGGCATCCATAACCAGCACCTTGTCCGAATCCATTACCGTGTGCAGACGATGGGCAATCGTTAGCACTGTGCAATCCTTGAACTTGTTCCGAATCGTCGTCTGAATGAGCGCATCCGTTTGGGGATCCACATTGGCGGTGGCCTCGTCCATCACTAGGATGCGATTCTCGCGTAGGATGGCACGAGCCAGGCAGACCAGCTGCCGTTGTCCCACGCTGAAATTGGTGCCCCCCTCGGAGATTTTGCTCTGCAGGCCACTGGGCAGATCAGCGACAACTTCCTTGAGCTTCACCTCCTCCAGGGACTCCCACAGCTTGGCGTCGCTATATTCGTCAAAGGGATCCAGGTTGTAGCGCATGGTGCCAGAGAAGAGCACTGGTTCCTGGGGTATAATGGAGATCTTGCTTCGCAGATCGTGCAGTCCCAGATCGTTGGTGTCACGCCTGTCAATAACAATCGATCCCTCGTTGTAGGAGAGTCGGAAAAGGGCATTGATCAGTGAGGATTTGCCAGCGCCTGTGCGTCCCACAATGCCGACCTTTTCACAGCCCTGAATGGCAATGTTCAGAGATCGCAGCACATAATCGGCAGCCTTGTCGGGGAAGTACTTCAGCGAGAGATCGTCGAAGACGATTTTGCCCTCCTCTGGCCAGTCCTTTGGCGGCTTCTTGTTCGGCTTCGACTCAAAGTCACCCTCTGGCTCCAGATCTTCGTACTCTACCACACGCTCCACAGCCGTCATGGTGTTCTCCAGCTCTGCCGACTGTCGCATGCCCCACTGCACCATGCCCGTCATGCCCATCGCTTGGGTTATGGCCAGACCCACATCGCCGCCATTCTCCGGGGAGAACAGGAAGAACGAGAGCGTAATCACGGCTATGTAGACGACACAAACGCAGTCCAGCCAGTAGCCAAAGGCGCGACTGGTGGCCAAAAACATGTAGTAGCCCGAGCTGTGCATATCCTGGTAATTGTCAAACTCTGCAATCAGTTCCTTCTGCGCGCCAAATGCCCGAATCGTTGGCAAACCATTCAACGAGGCACTCAAATGGGAGTAGATCGGGGAACGCGCTGTAAAGAGGATTACATTAGATGATATACCTATGGGAAACTAGTCCAAAAACCACTCACTGACTGCCTCCAAACGCTTGACATCCCGCGAGGTATTCAAGTAAAACGATCGCAACACATAGAAGACGATCACCAGGAAAAAGGTGGCCAAAATATACCAGACATTGATGATGCAGAGCACCACGACTATGCCGAGTATCGCTAGGAATATCTGCATGACATCCATCATCACGGAGGGCAGTATCTCATCCACTTGTCCCAGATCTTTGGAGAAACGATTCAATATACGTCCAGAGGGATTCGTGTTGAAGAAGTGCATAGCCGCACGCGTCACACCCTTGAACATTGTGTTGTGCAGCGTTGTGGAGCTCCGCATGGCCAGGTAGAAGAAGAGCATGCTCCTCACCAGCGAAAAGACAATCACCGAGACATTGATGCCCGTAAAGTAGTAAATGTCCTTGGGGTCTGTGTCGGAATTGATGCGGGTTTCGGGAAAAGCGCGACGCAAACGAGCCATAAAGGTGTCCCGCTCTGCTTCACCATTCTTGTTGACCCTGCAAGAGATTCATTCGTAAGTGATCTTTCCCGTGTTTCATTTACTCACCAATAGGATAGGAAAATGTCACCGCCAGAGCCAAGCACCTGTGCGCCGACACAGAAGAAGGCAAACACAATGAACAGACCATAGCCATTGGCACCGAAATACTTCTTATACAGCGACATGCCAACGCGTCCCTCCACGCGCGCCTCCTGCGTTTGCATGGGCGAATCGACGACCAGAGACTCTGCGGCGGATTCCATGGAGGAGATGCTGCCATGACGATCGCGTAGTTTACTATTCTGCCGCGAGAGCTCCTTCTTCTTTTCTGCATCTCCGCTGGCACCCTCATCCTTTTTGCTCGGATCCGTCAGCATTTGCGCAAAATCGAGGCCGCTCTGGCACATCGACGCGTAGGTGCCCATGGCACTGATCTTGCCCTTGTCCATGATCACAATGATATCGGCCTGCTCCAGGAACTGCAGCTGATGCGTCACCAGCAGCACAATATTCTCGCGCAGGAATCCGCGCATGCACTGATCGAACAGGTGGCGTCCCACGTGCGTGTCCACAGCACTAAGAGGATCATCCAACAGATAGATATCCGCCTTTCGGTACACCGCTCGGGCCAGACTAATGCGCGCCTTCTGTCCGCCCGAGAGTGAGGCTCCACGCTCGCCCACAATCGTCTTGTCCGCATACGGCAGAAGCTCGAAGTCCCGCTCCAGGGCGCATTTTTTCACCACAGTGCGATAGCGATGCTTGTCCATGGGCAGGCCAAAGAGTATGTTTTGTCGCACGGTGCCCGTGAAGAGCCAAGGCTCCTGGGAGGCATACGACAGGGTCCCATTGACCTTCACCGATCCCGCATCCGGATTGAGCTCTCCGAGAACCGCCTGAATAAGACTGGACTTGCCAGAGCCCACCGGGCCGATGACTGCCACCAGTTGGCGTGGCTTGAACTTCAGCGTGATGTTGTCCAGCGTATTTTCGTTGCTCTGTTTATCCCACTTGGCCTTGAGGTTACTAATGTTAATGGTGGGCTCTGCCTCGCTGGTACGACGACTGTTAGGCTTGAGGACGCCCGTAGCTTGGGCTATTGGCTCCGACACAAGTGCAGCCGCGGCAGCCTTGCCCAGTTTCTGCTCATCCAAATCATCCGACTTGTCGCGCACTTTCGTCTCCTCGTGCAGCATGAACGTCTGAATGCGACGAATCGACACGAGAAGCTCTGCAAACTGAGAGATGCCCATGGGGAAATAAACCGTCATGGTATTCCTTAGGATGTTGTAGTATGCCGTGATCACGAAGGCCTTCTCTGCGGTGAGTAGCTTGCCCAGCAGCACGAAGCCCACGAGGCTGACGAACACCGATATGCGCGTGACAAACATAATAAAACTCTGCAGCGTGCCGCGAATGTAGTTCACATTTCGTATGGCATTCATCTCCTTGGTGCGCACATAGTTGATCATCTTGCTGAATGGGATCTCCCAGGCGTACATTTTGATCACTTGAATGCCCGAAATGATCTCATTCATCATGCGTACACGTTCGTCTGTCCTCAGCGCAGTGCGCAGACGCAGCACGGAGGTCTTTTTGCCCAGATACGCTTGCAGTGGGATAAACATCAGCATCACAGCCACGCCAAAGAAAGCAGAGACACCAATCTAAAAGGATAACAGAAAAAAAAGGATTACTTGGAGTTACACTGCCCGAAATAGAGCCTGATATTCGTACCTCTCTGTACATCAGATATGTGATAATTCCAATCTCCACTGGTCCGAGCCATAAATAATTCATATGTATGACCGACAGATCGAGCCGTCCCACATCGTTCGATATAAGATTAACCACCTGCCCGATTGTCGTGTCCCCCAGCGCTGTGCGACTCAGACGCAATGCCTTGCGATATATCATGCCTGCAACAACAACAACAACAACGGAGAGCGGGGTGAGAGATGATCATTTATCATGGCTCCTCTGGGGGCACGCCATTCCACTTACTTGTCATGGCTATCCTGGCCTTCATGCCCAGATGAAACATGCCCAGCATGTAGGGATGCATGAGCAAGACATTGAAGGCACTGCACAAGATCACGCCCAGGGCGTACAGATAGGCTTTCACTTGGTTCTCCCCATCGCCCTCCTGGTTGCTCGAATCCGCATAGAAGGCCACCAGGCCGCCCAGAAAAAGAGGCTGAGTGACGCTGTAAATAAACAATCATACTTTATTGTATGATCATAAATAACTCCCCAAACCCATCGCTGTGTGCGTGTGGGCGTGGCCTTACCGGAAACCAATCTCCAGTATAAACAGCACCAAGCCAAGTCCCGCCAAGCGCCAGCCAAACACATCCACGGAGGCCTTCA